CCGCATATTTAATTTAGGAGATAATTTATTCATCTAGTTCAAATTTATAAAAAAAGGAAGTAGTTAGGGGTTTGATTTGAATATTATTTTTATGTATGCAATAATTTAGTTAAAAAATGTCTACTCTTTTCCCTTAATACGTCAGAAATAATATCTCTGATCTACTCCGGTGCTTACCAAAATAAAAAAGAGATATAATTATGAAATGAGGATATATAATCATATAATAACAATAAAAGATATGAAAAGTATAAAACAACGTAACATTTGTTGTAGGCATGATATTACACATCAAATTAAAGGACACGCTCATGATAAATGAAAATAATGGATAATAAAACTCATGAACGTGTGAGTGGGATCAGTTGAGTAGCGATTAATGGGGAGTAGTGGGAGGTGCTTGAAAGATAAAGAGGTAGTGGGAGATGGACATATACACAACTTTTGATATTCATAATACCCTAACATTTAATAGGATGTTTATGACTTTTTACCCCCCAAAAAAAAAATTGAGCATTAAGTAAAGGTATTTCGGTTAAAAAACATATAATGTAAAAGCCAAAATGGATGAACTTATATATAAAAGATCAAAGCTAAAAAGTCAATGGGGTCATATACGGGTAGGATTATTTATATACAACACAGTTTTGAGTTTAAGTTTATGGATTATTTATACAACACAGATTTGAGTTTTAAGTTTAACTTTTTAATCAGCCCTTGGGGTTTTTTCCCCCTTTTTGGTCGATGAAAAGAAATTTAAATTAACGAAATACAGAAAATGGCTTCAAGATCTGGGTTTAAACCCTCAAAACTGTCTTCTTTTTTTTTTGGTACGATCAAAAGTGTTGTTTTAGATAACATTTCGCCTTTTCAGATGAATGGGCTTTAAGATATCCAGACCGGGCCCATTCAAAATATCCATAGTGATGGGAATTCTAATATCTATCCTTCAAGTTGAATTCCTCTTTTTTTTTTTTGTTTTTTCTTTTGGTAAAGCCAAATTCCAAGAAGCGAGGGAAACGTATCTAAGTATATTTTGAGCAATAACTAATTAGGGTTAGGTCTAATAAGAGAATCTAGTCCTCAAAACATGGTGAATCAATGTTTAAATTTTTATTGAAAGAAATGCCGGCATTTAATGTCCAACAATGCATTGAACAAAATTGCTTCCAATAAGATGATGTTTGTATGTGAAAAAAAAAAGTATTTTTTGAGTGGTAAATCTTAATGGAGAACATATGAAGCTTATATTTGTTACATATTTTCAAATAAAGATTTATAGTCTTCAGCTATGTTGGGATAGGGGCTTTCAAAGGATCGAAGTACTCACAAATTGTCCAGAAGCCCTTAATCCCATTTGTCACAATGAAATTGATTGACATTCTTATAGAGACATTATTAGTCAGCCTCAGTTGTTTTTGTATTGGGAATGACAAAATATAGCTAACTTCATGTCTAGTGAGGTTTAATTTTGTGCTTATTTTTTCGGTTATAGGGACACAGAAGATTGTTTAGATAGTTGCTATATATTAAATCACCCACCCCCTTATCGTATTGAGGTGGTGATGAATGATTAGAGAAAGTCTCTCTAAGCTTAGTTGTGGTACCTCTTGGGACTTTGTTATATTATTTTTCATTCAAAAAATGAAGATTTATGTAACCAATAATAAAAGACAAAAAAACTTTTTGTCAAGGTTTGAAAGTATGCTGACCAGCATAATAGCAATGATGTATTCTTTATGTTTGCGTTAACTTTTTTTTTTTTTGGAATAAATATGAGAAACTTACCTTAAATCATAACATGTCCAAATAGGAATTAAAAAAAAAAAAAAACTCTTCTTATCATCTGCCACCTTGAACTAGACCAAGATATCAATATGTCATATAACAGTTGCGCTGTCTGTAAGTTATGGATAACCCATTTAGTTTTAGACTACATGTAAAGTATGAAGCTCACAATCTAAATATTACTATAATTATCTTTAACTCGATATTTTTTAAAAGTTAATGTGATATATGTGTGCATTTTTTGGATGCACATCAAAAATATACATCAATAGAAATAGACTGGGCCCAGTTACAAGTTTCTTGCTTGATTTTTCAAACGACTAATCTGGCTTCACCCAAACTCACCAAATAATATATGGCCAGGTCACATCACTTTCACCACAAAAATAGCATGCTTTGAACAACAATAATATAATTGTATCAGTTGGCAAGAAGATGATTCATACCTTGCAAGGACATGGGTTAGAATCTTGTTGCTGTTGTGAAAACTTTGTTCATCGTAAATATTCTGTAGGTGTTTTTTGAATCTTGATTCTTATTTTAGTACCAGTGAATTTTCAAAATTCAACTCACCTAAATTTTGTGATAAAGTTATGCAACTGCTACCATTGATAATGATTTACTAAATCATCCACAATGGCATTAGTTATGATTAACCATCACCATTTGCCGCCACTTAAAGGGAAAAAAAATGTCACCAATTGTTTCGAATTCTCTGATTAAAAAAAAACAAATATGATTATCTTGTTATCAATGTGAGGATACAAATTATTCAGACACAGCCTGTAAGTATCTTTGTAAATTCTTTTTGAATCCGAGAACATGTCTTGATCCTGATAAATTCCCAGCTCACAAATGGTAAAGAGGCAGAGAATAGCGCAATCTGGAGAGTGAGGGTAATAAAACCATTGGGCGACCACAGAGTTATATAGTCGCTGGTATTCTTAAGCGCACACAGAGAAACTCTCAGTTTATAAGCATCAAGACATTAATTGAAATTTCTCGAACAAGTGGCACAATAAAAATCTTCAATTTGTGATGATGATCATGATATGCGTCAAGGATTACAACATTAAATTTCTGGAGCAAGTGGCATACAAAAATATCTTCAATTTGTGATTATATATACATTAATGCCATGCGCAGAAAGTTAACGGCGGTGATATACAAGAATATATTATATCAGTCTCAGGTAATGATATTAGTGCGCGGTGTACTGTATATTCAACAATTGTGACGTAGCATAGATTCAATTTGTAATTGAAGTGCATGTAATTTCTCCAGATTAAAAAAAAAAATCCTCTTGTATTGGTTTTTTATTATTTTGTATATTAAAATAAAGCTTTCTAGTCTGGAGACAGATTACGTTTCAAACCAACCAGGCGATGATGATGATGTTATTATTGACCCTCCTTTTTTTGAGTGTAAAGATTTGGCCTCTGATGATGATATCCGTAATTAGCTACTTGTAGCTAGCTCAGTTCTTTGTATTAAAAAAGAGAAAGAAATGGAGGGAGTACAATTAATAGACTTATATTAAAATTAAATTAAGTAAAGTTAAGGAATGATGATGATGATGATGATGATCATAATAATAATAATAATAAAATTTATTTTTTTGATAACAAAAAATTCATTTTTTTTCATAGGAAAAAAGAAAATGATATAAGGACATTAATTTCAGTTAAAGATTCAAAAATTATCAAATTTCTGAAAAAGATTGCAGTCATTAGTTGGGATTAAAATTTTTCCGATTGAAATTTTTCAGTATTCATCTTCCACATTTTTAGTACTCATCTTTAGCATTTTCAGTACTTAATTTTTTTCACCAGTCATCTTCCATGATTTTTATACCAAAAAGAATTAAAGTAAGTATGTTTCTGTATTGAAAATATGGATAATGAGTATCGAAAATATTTAATGTAATTAATCACTAAAAAATTGAAAAACTAATGAGTATTGAAACTGTTAAGAAAATGTGAAAGTGAAAGATGAGTACTTATAAAATTGACTTCAAAAAATTTAATTTTAGTTAAAGTTTATGATCCTTTTTTGGAATTTCAAAATTTCAGGATCCTATATAGTAAATAATGAATTTAGAGGGTTTTAAAGGTCATTCTTCCAACAACAAAAAAAAAAAAAGAAAAGAAAAGCTCCCTGAGCCTAACGAAACTCAGATTTAGATTTGGTTTAGATGGAAGTAAAAACGATAAGAGAATAAGGAAGAAAGAAAAATTAGGAAAGATAACATTCAACAATAATAAATTTTTTAAGTTATTTTTGGAAGTTTTCCTTCATAAGTTTCTATCTTTTCTATTTTCTTCTCCATCCAAACCAATTAACAAGCTTTAGCTCGTTTCTAGTAAGAAGCAGAACAAAGTGACTACATTAATAGTATCCAATATAAAGGTCTAATTTTTTTCAGAAATTTTCTTAGTCACTACTAATATTTTTTTCAAAAAAAAAAGTATGTGTTGAATTCTGAAAGAAGTTTAATAATTTAATATTATTTGATGAAACCATCGTGAACCTAGATTTGCTCAAGAACCATAAATATCAGCAGCTAAGCATTCAAAATCCACTTGTTGCATCTGACTGCATAGTGCTCTGTTTTCGTCTTCCAAATGCATCTGAACCTCGCAAATCAATTGCTACATTCAAAGCACACAAATTAAATTTGCAAATTGTGAATCCCACTACTTGCCAAGCACAAGTTGATATATCTATATATTTAATTATTTTTCTTTCTATCCATTTGCTTCAATTATTTAATGTCAAACCCATCTCTTATCCTTTGCTTGCGAAAGCCATCTTCATTCAAAACATCAAGTCAAACCAAGAACACAAGTTATAATTAATTATATAATAGCTTATTACACCCATAAATAATTGAGACTTATTAATGTCATATATATGTTTGAATTAATTTTCGGGCAAGAACGCTTCAAGAAAACTTTAAAACAACGTTCTTGTTTTGGCTTCCGCGTATGACGTATGCCCCGAAAAGTTACTCTGTATCTTCTTGCTGCTAGTTGTGAGATGTTTTTTTTTTTAATCCTTTTCGGCACTTAAAAAATGGACATTGCTTCATTGAAGGGGAAGATAAAATATACTAAATATAAAACTTTATAATAAAAAATTCTTATCAACTTGATGCTATATGTATAAATACCCCAAACCACATAGCTAATCATTGCCTCTACGTTTTTCGGCACTTAATCATGCTCGCACTATATACAGTGAATTGGCAATGGAGATCAATTCAAGTTGAATCAGTTTTAAGTAACGATGGGAGGTGTTACTCATTTAGCTTCATGTTTTAAAACGGACCAAAGGTGGATTCTCATCTCATGTCAATTGCTATATATCCAGGTACGTAGAACTTATCCGTTAACATCATATATTGAGAACAGTTCATGAAGCTTAGCTAAACAAAATTTAAGTACGTATAACAAGATGCTTTAGTTAACCACTGACTTGATTAATACATACATAAGGGAAAAAAGCAAGCAAAAATGACTATAAATGAAACTAGTTCATTGGGTGTAAGCAAGCAATGTGATTGGCAAACCTTTCTACTAAATGCTTGTATATAAAAAGAAAATCATTATTTGTAATTTTTTTTCTAACAACCATTCGGCAAGTTTTTCCGCCCTTCTTGAACTTATTGACTGATTCTTCAGAAAACATTAAATGATTTTAAGTTTTTTTCCCCCTTGGTTTTCCATGGTTTCGATTGGTTCCGGTACACTTGGCGAAGTAATTATTTGAGACTTCAAATTAAGTATAAGAAGTGGAAATGTTGACTTTAAAGTTCAAAACTTGTACAGCAACATTACTTGTAGGTAGCTGAAAATTCCCTCTTTTAGTCCCCATCCTTCAGTTTTTTACTTAGAAGAGAGGATTAGATTAGGTACATTCTTATAATATAATTCTCCAGTGTTTTAATTTGAATAAATTATAGTAATATCCTACGTCAATAATAGAACATATAATTGAACTCACACTCAAGGGAGAACCACATTATAGGTGGTAAAAACTTGGTCGTCCATGCCTCCACAATGAAATAGGTTTAAATCCTTGATTATATCAACATGAGAATCTTGTTGGAGGTTAGTATTTTTAATATATCTATAAGCATTATATTATTTGAGTTGTGAGGTATATCTTGATCTTAGTGTTTTTTAATCCTAACTTCCATGTTTTACAACCGAAAAAAGGGCAATGTATCCCCTTTACTAAGTAACATGTAATTAAATGCCATTATGCTTTTAATTTTCTCTGAGCCATGAAGATTGTCTTGTTTCTAACATTTTCCTGGTGCTAAGTCACTAATAAAACCATTATTTAATTTGGAAAGGACGAGTTGGGGCTAAATCTTAGTTTCATCCCCAAGTGCTCACTTAATGGATCACAAATCTACATATATATGGGCTTCACAAGTAATTGAAAGGTCTTGCATATAAGACTTGCACTTTCATGTGGATGCTAGATTTTTGTTTTTGAAAGGAATCAATTACAATCATGCATATATACTTGTCAAGAAAGAGTGTGGCTCTGAGCCCCAAATTTCTGTTCATTTGAAATATTTTATAGAACTATGAGCTTTTTTATATCTCAAAACTAGTTTGGGTCTCATGCATTCAATGAAGTGTTACAAATATGTCATATTTTCATAGTCCATGAATACTGCGACTTACAGATAAATAACTAACCTGCTTATGAAAGTTTAACCATTGCAGCTCAAAGTGGGGAAATTTAGTCAATTACTAATTAATTAATTATACCAATTAATTACAAGATATGCATGCCAAAAATTATTTAGACTTTCAAGATTAGAAAGCTGAACTAAATTTAGATTATTGAGGATTTAGAGGAGCTCAAAATATAAAATATTTTTAGAAAGTGATCATTTAGCTTCCTTAATTTGCTTAGTAATTGTTCTTAATTAAAGGTGACATATGGTAGCCAATTGCTTACTTTAATAGCAAGTCCCTTATGAAATCAATTCAAGCATTATTCTTCCAATAGCCCAATAAATCCCTAATTTAGTTATGTGTAATTAATAAGTGGGTATTTGTCTCATTAATAAAACTGACAACTTAGTATCTCAAATATAACGTACTCACCTGTAATTACTCAAATCCCTAATATTTGATCAATAACTCACAGTTGAGAGCCTTATGGGTGAACTCTATAAGTACTCATTGAGTCTGGAAGTATGACTTAGCTTGGTGAGCCTTTGAGACCCACAACTCACCAAACATTTTTCTGCTAAAAAAAAATTAATCTTGTATATAAAATTAACCTAACTGAGAAAGATCTGTCCACTGCCCTCTATACAAAAAATTGGCAAAGGATAATAATATTACATCACTTGATGAAAGTATTATTATTTTAATATTTTAATTAAAATATTAATAGTTATTTAATTTTCATAATTTTTATTTGTTGACTTCTAATGTGATAAGTGAAAATATGTAGAAAGTAGATAATTAATAAAAGTTACCACCTATAGTGTAGTTAATCTTTTTCATAATTTACATCATTTAGTTTATTTCTTTATTTAATATTTCTATACTAACTTAAATAATAATTATTTGCGTTTAAGGGAAAATTTGTCTCAAGTTTTTCACTAGACGCAATTGGCATCCTTATCTTTCGACCAGTGAGCGCAATAGAACTCAAGAATTTTAAAATATAGTGATAACTAATGCCCTATAGCAACGTTTAACAACATTGATTATTAGTTGAACAGTTCTAAAAATTAAAAAGCGATTGTGCTAATTAAGTTTGTTTTGAGGAGCAATTAATATTCTAAACTTTTAATTGGAATAATTTTTCCCCACAATGGATAAGTGGTAAGGGAATCCTTAAAAAAATTTCCATCAAGCGGCAAGTAAAATCCTTACACACAATTTAAATACACAAATTGAGTATTGCAAGTTGTCAAGTGAACTTATTGCTACAATTCACAAAAGTTCAGTCCAAATCACTTTTATTCATCCCTCCCACCTTAGACTATTTTATATTGCCCAGGGTCGGTTCGAGCAAGTCTGTATTTACTCATGGTTAAGCCTAGGCAAGCCCAGACTTGTTTGTAGACACATGTTTTGACTTAGCTTGTTCATGGGCAAAATAAGTGCAAGTCCGATCTAGATTTTGTTCAGAGATAAGTTCATGAGACACTTTAGTAGAGTTGATTTTGTAGTCAATCAACCTCTGACATGGCTTTTAGTCAAAATTTGAGAATACAAAACCATTGTTTTTAACATTGATAATAAGTTGTTGGATCCTTCTTCTAATTTAAACGTTGATACAACACAAAAATATTCTATTAATAAAAGGCTTATGATATCAATTGTTGATTCATAAAAACTTCACAAATAAAATTGTCCTTTATAACCTTCATAATTATTCAACTAATGATGTTAAATGTTATTGCATGACAACATTGTACCAATTTCAAAATTTTCAAGATATTATTACATTAATCATAAGTTATCAATTGTACTTAGGTGGAACACTTGGACAAATTTACCATTAACCCTTGTTATTTTAAGACAATGAGATGAGAAATTTTATTTTAAGCGGTGGACGAGCCTGGCACAAAAATATTGATGAGATCAGAGCGGGGTTCAATACTGGCTACAAATATGTTTTGTACAGGTGATCATGCAACATGTCCCACTCTAAAAGCTGCCACGTGTTTAAAGGCATTCTCGTGATGCCACGTGGTGCTTGTTCGGCAAAGACCGTTCGCCGCCTCGCCACAACCAGAGTTTCGTAAGTGCGAATCCCCTGCTTTGTTCTCAGCCTGCACAACATTCTTGTAGGAACGTGGTACTATTTTATTGGACCAATCTTACTTAACCAAAAACTTACAAAAGAAAACATTTTGTATAACGTTCTAAATTTAAATAGTAATATATAAAACTATAATTATATGTTTGTTTTGGTTTTATATGTTTCCACGGAACACATACAAGGGGAAAAAAACTCTAAACCCAAACTCTTCATGAAAATATAGTATTAATTGAGAAGTTAAGACATGTTAATTCTAAATTTGAATTATGGGGATTATCGTTAAAATTAAAGGATTTGCTCTCGAGTTAGAGAAAAACAAAAAATGCGTGATATAAAAATTAGGATAGCAAATTTGAGAATGTTAAGATGAATTCTTACTCGTACAAAAGAAAAGACAAGATCTCAACTGCACACCAGGAAAAGTTAATTAACATGATCAACAAAAGTTATTTATGGTTTTTTTTTATCATAAAAGTTATTTATGTTTGCTAGAGATGTAATAATATATATTCTGCGATATATGTAATCATTCTTACTTAATGAGAAAAAACTTATTATTGTGGTCTTCTAGACTTTGCTCATTGTGATTAAAACAAATATGCATCGTATCGATTCTCGTGATGAGACAATATATATACATATATTGAACGGATAGGCCGTCAACTTAGTACGTAGGGCGCACGGTAATAGCGTGTACCGCGAAACATGGAATCAAAATTCGACTGTTTCAAAGATCTTACAGGAATTTTGCGTCGGGGCTGAATCGAACTGGACCGGACTTGGCTTTGGAAGAAGAGAGATGAATCAAATCGAGACGCGCCGCGCGTGCAGAAAACGCACCTTGAGGATACTGAGCTGCTAATTAGTTCCTTTAGATTCATTTCATAATCTTCTTATATGTGATTCGATCTGCAAGTATCTGATCGTCCTCAATTTTTCTCTTCTTTTTTTTTGGGTGATTTTATTGGGATTAATGTTTTTTTTTTCTCAGTAGGCCTATTTGTAATAATTTGAAATCGAAGATGTAATTGGAAATTTGGTTTCGTATTCGCTCTGATCCACTATTAATTTGGAATTGTGATAGTATATTTGATAGATGTTGTCAAGATATTCAAGGTGATGGAAAACGAAAAATTTGAAAACATTAAATTATGTCGTATGTGTGTTTGAATACTCAAAAGTATTCCAATTTTCAGAATTTGAGCTAAAACAGTTGGATTACTTCAATTGGGTCTTAATTAATTAGCCGATAAAGGAAGCGGGTTTCCCCAAGTTACAGATAATTGGATCTAATGAACAAATTCTATTTAATTTCTTGTTATATCACATATACAAAAATTTAAGCAGATCAATGAACGCCTAATTAAGCTTTGCGTTTCCTTCTATTAAAGTTATTATTTAAATATTTGAGTTGATATGGTTGTAGCTGCAAATGATTTAGAAGCTAAGTAAATAAACCTTGATTCGGAGAAAAGAATAGAGTAGAGTTAATTAATATATGGAATATATGATTTACAAAACATCATTTTGGTTTAACATATATGCCAGTCGAGATATTAGTTTCAAGATCTTCAAGCTTAAAACTTTTGTGTTGTGTCAATAAAATAGTTTAAAAAGCAAGCTTGAGAAAGAAGGAGAAAATAAAAGTATAGAAGAAGAACCTTGGAGACAAAACAATAAATAAATAACACGAGTTTTTTTGACTTCCAACTTACATTTATATGTAGTTTAGTACTGACCTCCAAAGCCACAAGAGCTTGACTACAACACAAGACACACTCAGACGAACAGCACACTTTCTTCGTTCTTCTTCTTGATTTTTTTTTTTTTTTGACTCAGACGAAAGAAACACTCATCTTTGAGTCATGACGACCCACACAACATTTGACACTAATTAATATGTCCTTTTATACAGTTAGACATTTATTTAACTTAGAAAAACTTATAAAAACTAGACCACATATAACAATATAACAATAACACATCGATCCGTTGAAGTGTGCATTAATGCAGATAGTGAAACTCGTTGACACATCTTTGATGAAACTTTTAAGCCTTGTACCTGAGATTGTTTTTTCTTCTAATAAGGATTTACTTTGAGAGTGTCAATGAACCTTCCCTTTGAAATGTCATTAGAGGATATGAAGTTAAGATATTCCCTGAAGCTGAACTCATTGTAGGACTTTGGTCTCTGATCATTCACAAGTTTTGGGGCTGGACCGACCTTTGTGTTCATTCCAAAGCTGTGAAGACTTGCTATGGACAGTCTCTTCTCTTCACAATTCACTGTTGCTCTGTGAATCACACTCTTGTACAGTCCATTGCTTAGTATTTCCATTTGATCTCCCAGTTGTACCACCAAAGCTCCTTCAATAAATGGAACCCTAATCCAATTGTTGTCACTGTCCTTGATTTCGAGCCCGGGCCGGGTTTGGAGCAGGATCGTGAGCAACCCAAAATCCGAATGAGGCAGGATCCCTAAGGTAAGTCCAGGTTCTGGGCAAGCTAGGTAGCAGTTTACAGCTAGGACTTGAGAGCCTTGTTTGATTTCTTCTTCTAAGTAATTAGGGTTTAGGCCTAGGCTTTCAAAAACAGTTTCAGCAAGTTGGTTTTGTAGTACTTGTGCTGCTTTTGCGTAGTTTCCCATTTTCTCCCTGTCTCCGCATGTCATAAAAATTGACATCTTTTAGGAGCTTTCTTGTAGACTAATGAATCATAATGTCTGGTATATGAACTTAGAATTAATTGTCATAGGTCTAACTATAACTTTTAATCTGTATGGAATTCCTTGTAAATTAACCTTCATTTTATCGTTTCAATTTCTTCATTTACACTTGAAGTTTTTTAGCAATCTTTTTCCTATAGATTTGATCAATTGAGAATCCCAAGCTAAGGAAATATTAAAAACGCACAAGTTGGCGCATTTTGTCAATCACTCTCACAAAGTCAAACCTAAAGAAGACAATGATGGTGGCGTATTAAAAGGTAATGCATGTTAGTTGCACCTGTGTTCCTTTTAGCATTAAATAAAGTAGTTTTTGGAGAGAAAATGGTGGGCTCAACTTTTAAAAATATGGTTCAAACAAAGGTTGCGTCCCACGTCTTTACCTAGGAAGATTGACAATTTGCAACCTAAAAAAATTATCAAATTTGGATCTCACCATTATTTAAACCCTGAAATTTCAGTACTTTAATTTTCTCATATCTGCTAGTATTGGTTTTTTTTTTTAAAAAAAAAGTCCCATGCTAACATGAACGATTTCTCATCAGATCTTTAATATACGACCATTCTATCTTTGTCTATCTATCTCATCACTTCATTTGAAGTGTTATTATACAGATGAAAATAAAATTTTTAACTCGAAGTGAGGAGAGAGATAAAAAAATGGTTAATCCCACTTTGTACATGAGTATCACAAAAGTCACTTGAGTGAAATCCATGTAAAATGTATGATGATTAGATTCATAGGACTTGGTTTCATGTTATTGATAATAATGCTAATTAGTATTTGATTTATGAAGACTTAATAATTACCTGTAACTTCATGGATTAGAAGGCCACCAACGGATCCAATCAGGGAGAGGATGTGAGTAGTGTTTGATGAAGTCTCTCCAGCAGTAAACTTCGTCCTTAGCATGGTTAAAGCTTGTACCATACCTCACAGGTTTGTCACATCATCAGAATATAACTTCATCTTTTCTTCACTGGGCATGTCGAAGAACTCTCTTGCAGCTTCCAGGGCATCGTCCATCACAGATTGATCAATCCCATGATTAATAACCTTAATAAAGCGCAATTCATCCACGTAATTAGTTTGATCTTATTTAGGTTATCATGACTAGCACAATAGAACTAAACAAGTGAAGCTAATAATAATGATGCATGCATGTGTTATGAGCACACATTCAAAGAACAAATTCATCCCAAAAGATTAGCCTATTAAGTGAGAATTAAAATTTCTTGAACTTATAAACCTTGCTTTACTTGCCAAGCTCTCTATTATAGGGCTCATAATAAAGTCACCCTATTTGAGAGCTGAAATCCTCGACAACTCCACTCCACGATACCTTACTTAGCTTCTGCAAGTATCACTTTCTATAACATCAACTTCTTAATGAGAGCATAAGTATAATAAGTGAGTCTATTCTAAAAAGCTAGCTTGGTTGGTAGAAGAATTTCTTAAATTTATAAACCCTACTTTATTTTTGAGACTCCCTAACATGAGACTCATAACAACACATGAAGCACAAGAACTTGATTTTAATATTGTAACATCCAAGTGCGTGTATATATAGCAAGACTAACACAATTATGAAAGGAAAATTTTCTTTCATGCACCTGTTACAAGTTAGCTAGAATATTTGTGCATGTGGGGCCCATGACATTGCATGTATATTTGTACGAGACTTAAAATGCTAAGAATATTCTAAATTACTCTTTTGGGTGAAAGGGTAAACTAATTAACTTGGAAAAGAGAGGGGAAAAAATAGGAATTGACAGGGCATATATATATATATATATATATAAGTGATACCATATAGACACCAAGTTCTTCAGAGACAGCACGAATATTGTGGATGGTCTGAGACCTAAGAGACTGATCATGTAAAGAAGACAAGTCTATAATGGGCATGGTGGTGGAGATCTGAACATTAGGGTTTGGTCGCTGTGAGGTTGGAAGAACGTAGCGTTCTGGTATGGAAGATACTCCTTGCTGATCAAGAGCCATAACACAAGTAAAAGACGAAGCATGATCTGCTCCCTCAATATTCTCCATCACTTCTATATTATTGCAATACTGTGAATGATCTGGTCAAGCTCACATAAGCCTATTTATATGCTCATGTGGTGGGTGTATTATTATCATAATAATCTCTCAAGTCATGTATCGCTTTACTGGTACAATTACAATGTATGTGAACCAAATAATAAATATAGTTGCAGAATAGTGATGGAAGGTTGAACAACAGAATAAATTGAAAGAAAGTCATGAATGATGGAAGAAGGTTGAAGGGATCACACAACATATTAATATAATATTACAGGATGAATTTGTACCAAGTTACATAGCTATGCACGCATTCATATGCTCATCGCGTGTACACACATTTGGAGCTTTTGGATTTTTTAATTGAGAGCATGGAACCTCAGATTGTGGGCGTTTGATTTTTCTGGTAAAAAGAAAAACGAATAAAAGAATTCATGTGGGTTGGATTAGATGACTCATGTTTCATTCATCCTCTGCGAAGTTAACACGTTAGGTTTCTTAACCCCGCCGAATCTAAAAGCCGACATTGACATGATCCACAAAAAGGGACGATTTGTCGTTTATTGTCATTAAAGTGATTGAGTTATTTATGTCAAGCTTTACTATTTGGGAGAAGTACTTGAAGTCCCTGTCAATATTTCTAAATACAGTTATCAATAAAATTGAAAGCAGTTGATAGTATTGAGTAAACTTAGTTGTAATTTTTCTTACTATGTTTTTGCTACAATAATGATTATATTATTGTTAGAGTATAACTAAAGGTGGTTAATTTGTTTAACTATTGTTATGTTGAGATATGTGTCATGATTAGTTCGGTACTTAGCTCTCTATATATAAGTTGTACTTTTTCTACAGAAATAACATGATTTCATTCTCTGTCATTATTGTTTCTTGAAGTATTTGGCATGGTATCAGAGCTTTTGCGCTCAGGCAAAGCTCCGATCCAGTTATACTAAACTACGGTGACATTGACGTCGGACTATCTCCCCTCTAAAGATTGATAGATTGGCAAAACAATGTCTTCTTCCAGAGATACATCTATTGTTCCAGAAATTGATATTGGTGTTTTGTCTCGAAGCTTCACTAACAAGAAGATAATAGTAAAGCTTGATGACTCCAACTATCTCATCTGGAAACAGCAAGCTTTTTTCATGATTAAACAGCATCATCTTGCTTCTTTCCTTGATGGATCTATTCAAGTGCCACCAAAGACGCTGTGTGACGATCATGGATGCGAAGTCATCAATTCTGCATTCGAGATTTATGAACAGCTTGATTCTGCCTTGGCCTTATGGCTATTAGCCTCTGTAATATCAAGTGTTCTACCTGAACTTGTCGGTTTGGAAACAGCTGCTTAGATCTAGTTAAAGATTAATCGTCTATACTCTAGAAAATTAGATTCCAAGATTCTGTATTATCAAAATCTTCTTACTAATCAGCAAAAAGGAGAACTCAGTATGAGAGATTATCTGGCTAATTTCAAATCAATCTACGATCATCTTAGTCTTCTTGGTGAACCAATCCAAGAATCCTCTCATATCTCTTGTATCTTAAATGGTCTTACCGCTGAATATGAATCTGTTATTGCTATTATAAATGCTTCTAAGCCGCATTTTGATTTAGACACAGTATCTATGATGCTTCTTGATTCTGAGGCGCATCAAAAGAATTTTCTAAGTAACTCGATTGCACAGGCTCACTATACAACTTCAGCATCGCAGAACTGGGATTATGTTAAAGAAGATTATTATGTGTTTCATGCTCAAGCTTATTCTGCTGGAAGAGGTCATCCTCCCCCTTATCGAGCACCATTTGTTCTAAGAGGCAGAGGTTGTAGTTCTTATGTAGCACCTCCTCAACTTGTCAGATCTACAATAAGGTGGGCTATACAGCTGATCGTTGCTATTTTAAGTTCAATACCTCTTACAATGCTTTTACTTATCAGCCTCGCCCTTATCCTATTTCTTCTATACCTCAAGCACATTATACCATCTCTAATTCATATGGTTGGCCCAATGCATATTCCACTGTTATGATACCTTCTGCTACTAATGATTCTAGTGCTTCCTCTAACATGATGCCTACTAGTGGTCAAAATATTGCATTCACCGTCAATCCTGTAGCTGCTCCACCTTGCTTCCTTTGACATGAATACTACCCAAGCTTTTGTTGCCTCTCCGAAAGTCATTGCTAATGACGCTTGGTACTTGGATTCCGGTGCTACTCAGCACATATCCAATTCAATTGCTCATTTTCAAAATGATGTAACGCCTCAAGGAACTAGTAATGTCATAGTTGGTGGTGGTGTGTTTCTTCCTGTCTCACACATAGGCAATACATATTTGTCTTCATCTAATTCTCGTTTACATATGAATAGAGTATTGTGTGTGCCTTCTATGCAAAAGGAACCTTGTTTCTATTTCTCAAGCTATAAAAGAGAATGGTGTATCCATTGAATTCTTTCCTCACGGTGTGTTTGTTAAGGATTTACAGACCAGGCGAATTCTCATGACTGGTCCTAAACATGCTGGCATGTATACATTAGATACACAATCAACTGATAATATTTCATGTTCCTCTACGTGTAATCGCTCTGCTACTGTTTCTTCTTTTTCTTCAGGCTTGTGTTATCATGTTAGTGCTTTGGATTCTTTGCTACTCTGGCACTGTAGACTCGGTCATCCACATATAGACACTGTCAAGTATGTTCTTCAATCTGCACACATCACTTTTTCTTCTAATAAGACTGAGGATTTCTTTTATGTTTCTTGTAAAATGGGCAAAAGTCATAAATTGCCTTTTAAGGCTTCAACTACAGTGTATACTCGTCCTTTACAACTAATAAAAATTGACTTGTAGGGTCCTGCTCCTCTTTTGTCTAATGGTTCTTCATTTTACATCTCCTTTTTGGATGCATATAGTAGGTTCTCTTGGACCTATCTATTATAAAAAAATTAGAAGCCTTACGTATCTTTAAAGATTTTAAGTTGCTTGTGGAAAATCTTTTTAGTACAAAAATTCAGCAAGTACAAACAGAAAATGGGGGTGAATTTCTGGTGTTTACCTCATTTCTTAATAGTTATGGTATTTAACACAAGTTTACATGCCCCTACACGTTAGAACAAAATGGTCCAGTTGAAAGAAGACATAGATCTATAGTTGAGACTAGTCTCACTCTGCTTGCAAATGTTGCTTTACCCTTGTATTATTAGGGAGATGCTTTCTTGGCAGCTACTTTTTTACTCAATAGATTGCCTTCTGCCGCTCTGGGTGGTTTAACACCTTATGAATAGCTATATCATAAAGCACCTGATTATACTATTCTTAAAGTTTTTGGATGTGAGTGCTTCCCTTTACTGCGCCCTTATAATAAACATAAATTATCCTACAGGTCTGTTGCATGTGTATTTTTAGGATATAGTTCAACACATAAGGGCTATAAATGTCTTGACAAGGCTACTGGCAGGCTGTATATTACCCGTCATGTTGTTTTCAATAAGCACAAGTTTCCTGGTCATGTCCAGTTTAGTATCAGAAACTCAACAAGTTTTATTCCAGATTTACCCATCTCATCACTCGTATCGCAACCTTCTATATTATCCATTACCTCTACTTCTCATTTGCCAAATTCTTACTCAACATCTTTTGCCACTTCATCTTCACTAAATTTGAGCCAATTAACTCTTGAGATTTCACCTGTACCTATGCCTGCTGTCTCTACAAATCCTTCCTCACCTACCATTACTTCATCTCCTATTCTCACTAACTCCTCAACTCTTCCACCAGTCAATGCTCATAGAATAGTTACCCACAGTAAAGCTGGTATTTTCAAGCCTAAGGTATACTCAGTAGCAAAAGATATTCCTATTCCAAAAACAATAGATGAAGCTCTTGCTCATCCTCAATGGAAACAAGCTATACAAGATAAATATGTTGCCTTGGTTAAGTTTTAGACATGGGATCTTGTTCCAAATCCTGGCGACAAAAAAATTGTTGGTTATCACTGGCTGTGCAAAGTCAAAACACATCCTGATGAATCAGTTGCTAGATATAAAGGCAGACTTGTTGCAAAAGGCTATTCTCAAGGGGCAGGATTTGACTATCATGATACTTTTAGTCCAGTGGTTAAAGTAGTAACAATTCGCATTCTTCTAAGTTTGGCTGTAACGAACAAGTGGAAATTACATCAAATTGATTTCAACAATGCCTTTTTAAATAGTAATTTAACAGAAGAAGTATTCATGGAATAACCTCCAAGTTTTGTTCAGCTTGATAGTAATGAAAGTCCACTTGGTTGCAGACTTAAAAAGGCCATTTATGGTCTTAAACAAGCGCCTCGTGCATGTTTCAAAAACTAAGTGCTCATTTATGTTCTCTGGGTTTTACTGCTTCTAAAGCTTATTCTTGTCTTTTCATCCGCGAAGATGATCATGGTATTTATTATCTCTTAAGCTATTGTAATGACTTAGAATTTTAAATTAAATGATTTTTCATCTAATTAATATTTTATTAAATTGTTCAAGTTTTATGATGAATAAGAAGTAGTGGCTTAATGAAAATTATGTTGGTCTCTGTTTAAATGATTGGGGGTTCGAATCTTACCTATGCCAAAGGTGATTTTATTTTTTCTGGTGATTAATGAAATTACCAAAATATTCTTGACTTTTGTGTTATTAAAGAAAATATCTTTTGGGTCTTTTATAATTTTTCCAAACTGTAATATTTTAAAACTCCCTCTGTCGGTCGAAGAAAACAGAGCACAGTGAGAAAGAGTCCAGTTTCTTCTACACACGAGAGTCCAGTTTCTTCTACACACGTCTTCTCCACATCACCGACTTGCTTATCTGATCCCCGCCAGCAATTAGCGCCCCATGCCATCGAAATTTCTCCACCGTAAATGATGAGGCTGTCCAGTTTTCTTTTCTCCTTTCTTCCCCTGTTTTTCTGTTGCGTGAGCCATGCTGGTGTGTGTGTGTGATGTTGGCTTTTCTCTCCTCTGTCTCGTCACCAGTGAGGTGGGCTGCTAAAATCCTTGCCTTTCTGTCATTCGTCACACCTCCTCTATCTGTATCCATCGTGGTTGCTGCTGTTAGACCTTTCTCGAGCAGCAACATCGCTGGCACTGGTTCATTTACGTCGTCGCCATTTCGGTGGTCATGGGGTACATCGGTCTTCCCTTGGTTCTGTTTCCTGGTGCCAGAAATATCTCCCTGATTCACGTTGGACGAGTATAGTAACTCGTTGGAGATGAGAGAATTCCAAATCCTCTGCTCTGCGATCTCCGGCCTCCATTTTTTTTCGTTCACCTTCACTTCTTTTCTGTTCATGTTGGCGACCAGATTAGGAGGGGTATCTGCGTTCTACCTCCCTGTTCACATGCCCAGAATCTCCTTCTGTTTACTGTTGCCATTGCTAAGGTAAGGATCCTAGAATCTCCTCTTCCTTGTTGATGCTATGTGCGTACTAGATGGCTAGAAAGTTTGATGCGTTCTTTCTTGCTCTATTGCTGCGGATGACTTTTGTACAATAGGAGTTTGAGTAATTTGAATTTAAAACTTATGGGGGCATTTCTATTAAATAATCTTGATAATTGTTTGAGGATCAATGCCCACAAAATGTTCAATAAAATGTTCAAAAAGAAATCTTGTTATATAGTGATGTGATATATATGTATATATATATTTGATGGTTATGTTGTTGATTAGATAAACCATCATTAGAGGACAATTACCTTTCGCAAACTTGGTAAGTTGATTCAATTATCCATTATCTATTTAATAAAATTTTGGAAGGTGGAATCAAGGAGGAAAAAGTCTGGTTCAAGTTTAAGAATTAATGCATGAAAGGTGATTGAAAAAATAAATAAATACATAAATACATAAAAAAATAAAAAAATATGTCTATTGGGATGAGTTTTATCTTATTATGTAATTTATGAAAAACAAAATGCATTTTGTATAGGTGATATTTAAGTTAACTTAGCTTTGTGAAAATTTTTTTGATCATGTAGCTGTTGGATGGCTAATTGAATTTTTGAAAATTGTACTATTGATGATTTATAAATAATGGTGTTGATTTATGCCTCGTTTTATGGTGCACTTAAGGTATTTGATGAAGTGAGTTATGGATATAATTTCTTAATTTAATAGAGTAATAAAGCTCAGGTGTGCATGCATGTTCATACTTTGATCAAAATTTAGTTAGCTCTTGATTCGAGTTAGAAAGACAAGTGTAACATAGAGAAAGCTTTGAATAAATAAATAATATATAGTATCGTGAGGATTGAAAAGACTTAAGATATGTATAGGATCAATTTGAGAACTTAGGGTATATTGTCCCTGTTATGGAAAAGGAGTTTTATTAGACTCGGATAAAGGTCACTTAAATTTTGCATTATTGAATAGGGGATCTGAAGAAAAGAAATCTTGATTGAAGTAGTAAGGAAGGTTTGTTTGAAGCGTTAAAGGGTGAATTTTGTGCTTGGGAATATTGCAGGTAAGTGGATAACGTCCCAACTAATTTTTTTTCAACTAAAATTTTCTTTAGTAAAATATTACATTTTTCTGAAAATCATTTTAATAGCATTAATGCGATTATTGGATATTTGTTGATTAACATTGCTTTATTTTGAGAAATTAGCTTTACCAAATTTAAAATGTTATTTGATCAATTAAATCAAGTTTGGACTTTGATTGTGAGATTTTTATTTTATCAAATATTGGATTGATACAGAGAATGATTCTTGCTATTCAACTTTGAAAATTTTGATTATCCAATAAATGCAAGCATGAGCATTGGATATGAAATTTTATTCTGGCAAGTTTTAATGTTTAAAAATATTCATGTGAGTTTGATTTTGAGAACAAGAATTGTATCTTGAAAGTGATGATTTTCTCGCATGTTTGAAAATGGTTTAAAAAAAAGAAAGGGACTTTATACGGAACACTGGTTGCTAACGGCAGTCCCGTTAGCCTTTAGTGCGCCATGGTACACCTAGCTAGTAGGGTGTTTATAGGAGGTGCTAGCCCCGTGCGATGGCCAACGCACGTGGAATGGAGGGATGGTTATTCGTGGGCTTTGGACCTGCGTTTGATTTCGTGGCTTCAAGCCACGTTTGGTTAGCATTACCTTCGTGGACTGTGTGTCCACGTTTATTTCGTGGCTTCGACCGCGTTTGGTTACTTACCCTCGTGGACTGTGTGTGTCCACGTTTGTCTTCATGGCATAAGCCGCGTTTGGGTAGTTACCCTCGTGTACTGTGTGTCCACGTTTGTAAAATTATTCTGATAAGTTCCTATAATTATAAATACAATTATTTGATGATTTTATATTCCATTGATGTTATTCAATAATTTATTTATAAATATTTATTTCATTTATGTGCTTTCTTAGAAGCAAATCCTATTAATATTTGCCATGATAGTTCAAAGATTTAAGATCTAATTTTAAAAAATTTTACAGAGCTATTCTATTTTAAAGTTTATTACATTTTTTTAAAGGCCGTTGTCTCTTTGACTCACAATAATTTTAAACTTTTCCTTTTAATTCAAGTTCTATTATTTATTGTTGGGACGTTATTCACTGAAAATTATTATTTTGGTCTCAGATACGTTAGCTGATGTTGTGCCTTCCGCTAATCCTTGAGGGGCTGAAATATTCAGTTGAGATCAAACTTCTTTAAATAAATTTCTTATGTCAGGTGCTCCACATAAGCTATAGTTAGGGTCCTCATCCTTATGATTTATACTTTGATATTTACTGATTAGAAGAGAATTCCTTGCTGCTACTACTACTTTGTAAAATATTAAACTTTTGTTCGTATGGTTTGTATTGAAGATAACTTAATTTATTATCAAAGGTCTTCATGGCTTATAAATTAGAGTTTTCTTGAGTAAAGACTTTTAGGATATAGATATTATCTCTATATTTTTTGTGCCAAACATGTTATATTTTCGGGGTGTGACAGCTATGTTGATGATTTGTTGCTGCCTGGGTCAAACGAGACTGTTCTTCAATAGCTTATTGTGCAAATGAGTTCAGTTTTTTTTCTCTTAAAGTTCTGGGTGAAATATCTTATTTTCTTGGTGTAGAATTTCATCGTACATCCAATGGGTTGTTGCTTTCACAGCAGAAATATGATTAAATGGAACAAGTACTTATGGTCTGTTAATTCATCCAATTACATGTTTTCATATTCAAGTATATGCTGATGCCGATTGGGGCAGTACTACTGAGAAGAAACAAGTTGAGGAAGTGGAAGATTGTTGTTATGTTCTTTCACCTAAACCTCGTAGATCAACCAGTGGGTATTCTGTTTTTTTAGGTCCCAATCCTGTTGCTTGGATCTCAAGGAAAGAACAAGTAGTTTCTCGATCTTTTACAGAAGCAAAGTACAGAAGCATTGCTGATTCAATGACTGAAGTATTATGGCTTTTGTCGTTATTCAAAGAAATGCACATCACTGTTGAGTTAACACCTGTCATTTGGTGTGATAATTCTGGCACTGTTGCATTGTCTGTCAATCCTATTTTACATTCAAAAACCAAACATGTAGAGTTGGATGTTCATTTTATTAGAGAAAAAGTTGCTGCTAATATTGTACAAGTTGGTTATGTTCCAGCATCTTATCAAGTTGCAGATGTGCTCACTAAACCACTGTCTCATGCCATGCTCTTTTACTGTCGTGCCAAGTTGCTGGTTCTATCGAAAGAAGAAGTCACAAGTTCTGATTTGTTTACTGCCAACTCAAACTCTCCTTACTCAGACTACTGATATGTTGCTATTTTTTTTTTTGTTTTTCAGTAGGGGGAATGTTAGAGTATAACTAAAGGTGGTTAATCTATTTAACTATTGTTATATTAGTTGAGATACGTGCCATGATTAGTTCGGTACTTAGCTCTCTATATATAAGTTATACTTCTCTCTACAGAAACAACATGATTTCATTCTTTGTCATTATTGTTTCTTGAAGTATTTGGCAATTATTATATTATTATATATGGTTTTGATTCTCGAGACTCTGGATATGACGTGTTTGAATTTTGTTTCTAATGATTGAAACTGGAACAGATTTTCTTCATTCGACACTTGACTGAATTCAGTGGAGCCATCGATGCAGCATTTCGTGACACGTCGCAGAGTTTTCCTTTTCAGGATTAGGTGGTGAGAAACGCACCGTTTTATGACTCTGGTGGAAACAAAGTTTTTTTATTGAAAAAAAAATTAATCGCAACAAAGTTCATTTCGTATGTATTATTACACGACGGGTAGAAAATAGAATTAGACTATCTTTTGAATTACATGGTGCAAAATGCACTGATTTTATTTATTGTGTTTTGTTCCTAATTAATTAGTTGAAGTTGCTTCCATTTCTAAATTGAGGCAGAATTCATTGCTCATGAGCTAATCCATCAGAACTCACTCAACTCAGCCATGTTCTCTGTCTACTCGCAATATTTTGCTATTTGCATGTAACATTTCAAATTTTAATAGATTCCAGAATTAATTAAGATAAATGGTATTTGAAGTTAATTAAAAGTGGAAAAAAGCAGTTAAGAATGACCATTGGATCTATTATTTGACTTGTGAGTAGAGGCTTGAAATTGGGTCGGATTAGGCATTGGGCCACTTGGGCTCGATTCAAGGGAACAAATCCAAAAGTTGGCTCTCTGGATCATTCATTGGGATGCATGTCATAGCTTGTCAAGGTGGATGGTTAAAAATATGATATAATTAGATCACGAGCACGACAGAAAAAGAAAGAAAGAAGAAGGAACTAACGGAGGCACGACCTAGGCGTGCTGCGGCTTGGAGTTCCTGACATTTTGGCTTGGTTTAGGACTTTTAATCATTAAGGTAAACTTCCTACGTAAACTTCCTCCCCCTTTAATTAGATTTTCTCTAGGTTTTCTTGGGTTCACGAGGGATTTCAAAATGTAAGAAGATTTTACCAATTGATTTGACTTGAAATGAGTTATTTGAAGTTTATAAGAGTTTCTAATGGATTGATTAAGATTTATATGATATTTTATTAGCGGACGCCAGGCTTTGACAAAAACGTTAAGTAGGAAATATGATTAAATGACAATGTAAATATTCAATATAAAAATTTCTAGACCGACGGAATTGATTTGAGCTAATGGATAGTATAAATGAACTTACTACCTATCTAGAATCATTTTAAACGCAATCTCAAACAGTTTAAATCACTTATCAATTTTTCCATTATTTTTTATACCGTATAACATTTGGTCCTACTGGTATAAACCTTATCTACCTTTTGTTAGAGCAACAAATGCAAATGGCCGTTATTTTCCTTACTTGCTATGAGCACAAAAACTCTACTAAAAAGCACTTTGCCATTTCCTCTTTTCTAAAGAAAGCCAAAAGGAAAGAAGATATATAGTCTAATGGCTAACTATATGTGTTTAGTGGATCATCTATGAAGATCAACCATAAATAGGAAGACGATAAAATGAGCAAAAGAGAATGTAGTGAAGTTATCATGCGATTATACTCATTTATTATTTCACCAATTTTATGTTGTAATATTCATTACGAATGAGCTTCATTAATTGTAAATTAATTCTAAAAAAGAGTCTTTGATGGTAGTTGTTTATTCTTAAATATACTCTATTCATCTTTATTTTACATACTTAAAATGGAGCAACTTAAGCTCGGTGAGCTTAAGAGGATATATAATTACCTTTGTAAGGGAGGAATGATTCAAACTTGTGTAGAATTTTGGGATTGTACCATAGCAACCAAGAGCCTGGCTTAATCATGGTAGAGTAATTGAAAAAAATTCTCAAGTATGACTTGAAGATTAGACATAGGTTAAGTTGTTAGAGTTGAATTAGAATAAACGATGTAAGCAAGCTTTTCTTCCCTACTCTCATTTGTGTTTGGTGATTTCATTCCAACATTATCTCTTTTTAATTTGCATTGTTAGTTAAATTTTTATTAAGTCCAATTCACCCCTCCTTTTAGGAAAACTTAGATATTAGACCTAATTGAAGGTAGCGCTCCTAAAGATGTTTTCTACATACCATGTGCTCGGAGTTATGTACCCGAACTCAGTTTTGAATGAAAAACAAGTACACACTACTAAAAAAAATTAAATTTAGTGATGGATTGGAGATCCATCACTAATTATAGGCATTAGTGATGGAGATTTTTGAGGAACTAAAATCCATAACTAATTATATAAATTAGTAATGGATTAGTGACAGAGATTGGATGTCATCACATTTTGGTCAGATTTTATAAATTTACTTGCCAATTTAAATCGATCACTAAATCTTTATATTAGTGAAAGATTTTTTAATTAAAAAAATTAGTAAAATGAACTTAAATAAAAAATTATGATATACACAGAGAGGTTCACATGAATTTTTTTTCTTAAATTTACCAAATTAAATAATTACACAGATAATTTTTCTCTTATTATAAGAAAAATATATAATATAAAATGATATAAAAATAAAATAATTTTTTATTTTATTATGTAAATTTAAAAATAAAATAAAATTTTTATCATATGAAAATATTTTAATTATAACTTAGATAATATCAAACAATATACACAATTATTTATTTTCATAATATATATTAATTGATATTAAATAATATATGTATTAACTAATAATAAATATTGAATTATATATTTATATGTGTTAATGTTTGTGTATATGATAATATAGATTATGAACATATTTAAATATTAATATATTAAATATATAACAAATACATTTAAATTAAATATATGTGTTCAATTAAGTAATATATATATATATATATATATTAACATCATAGCTCAACTGACAAAAGGCGTGTATGAAAAGAAAGAAGTATTAGGTTCGACAAGGCAACAACACCTTTAAAGAGAATTAAAATAGTTTGTTGATATGGCAACAATGTGGTATGGAGGTTCAAGTAGTGACAATGGGGCAAGTGACAGGTGATGTGTACTTATGAAATGGCATAGGAGTTGACATGGCAGTGATTGGACCCATAAAAAATTTTTGATTATAAAATAAATTAATAATAAAAATTTATTAATTAGTGATTGATATTTTCCGTCACTTAGTGACAGATTCATTTAGGTCACTAAATTAGTAAAGCTATATTTGTGACGGAAATTAATGACAGATGATCCATCACTAAATCAAAAACAAATAACAAATTTTGTTTATTAGTGGCGAATTTATCTGTCATTAATTTTATTTTTTTAGTAGTGACACACAGAAAAGAAGAGAGAAAACAAGAGGGGAGTCTAGGTGATTAGAAAATGTAGAGAGCGTGGATTTTCACGTACCGGCCTTACATAGAAACTACCCACACCCAAGAGGTTATTGCAAATCATGTATGCACCGTTATAAAACCATTTCTACTCTAATTCAAATAGGTAAGAGAAATTGCACATAATACCGCAAGCATATTACACATAGAAACCCATAATTTCTCAATATTATATTAAGACCCCATTCTCTAATCAGACCCAATCCAACAAAAGTGGATAACCCAAAATATTTAATTAAAATACTATTTAATTTATATATGTATTAGTATAATTAAAGGTTTCATTTAAAAAAAAAAAGTTATGTGGCCTTTTAGGCTCGATTTCGAGCCCTTATCAATAATAGCATTTTTGCAACATACTCCTCCAGTCCTGTATGTTAGTTACATTCTAAAAATATAATCTAGTTCACTTAATAAATTATTAACTAATGAGATTTTTTTTTTCAAATTAAAATTCTAAAACTATCCTTAAAAGATAAGAGCAAGAAATATAAAAAAAATAATATTATATTATTTGTTTACTATTAACTTTTTACTGGAGGGTTATATTTAAAATTTCACTTATTTTTATTTCTTATACGTTTATTATATTGATATTAATGAGTTTGATAGAAATGATTTATAAATAAGTTTAAAGGAGTACTCAATAAATAGATGAAAGGGTGAAGAACCCTTTTCTCACTTTCAATGCACTCTTTCTCTAAGACCAAATCTATAATTACATTTTGTATTATAGCCTGTTTATTATATTTGTTAATGATATATTTTTTTATATCAATGATAAATTTTTATAAATTTTTAAATTTTTAATAACAAATTTTTTATCTATTAATATAAATCAGTCATACTCTTAAATTTTTAAAAATTTAGTTCATATTTTCTGGTTATAAGATTTTTTTTTAGCCAATAAGCTAATTTATCTTTCATTAAATATAAACATATATAAACCTTGAAGCTTGAGAATATAGTTGGCTGTAAAAGCTTGACGTCGAAGGAAGAAATAACGACAATTGTGGTTGTCTGGTTTAGAAGTGTTCCATCCAATTTCTTGGCCACTTTTTTCGTAAATATGTTCCATTAAGCTTCGGACACATGACACCAGGAATTTGGCTGTTGACGAGGAACAAAGTTATCATCATTTTTAGAGCCGGTAATTCGGGCGGGCCGAGCTTATTCGGACCGGGCTCAATTCGGGTCGGGCTTATTCGGATTGGGCTTAAAGCATCCTACCTCTTCTAAAAAGCCCATATAGCCAAACCCGGCCCTAACACCTTCGGGCTTCGGGCTTATTCGGGCTGGCCCGGATACCCGAAACTTTTTAAAAATATTTTTTCTATATATTTTGAACCAATTTTAATTTTTAAATAATTCTATTAATCGTAAAATATTATCTTAATTTTAAAAGAATAAAATAAAAAATAATTTATCAACTTTGTATTTACGTAGCTCTGTTATTATTTTGTTGTATTATGTATAATTTATTCATGAATGTTTCCTTTACTTGTAAATTAATGTCTTAATTGTTTAAATATTGCTCTTATCATAGTCATATATAAATATTTTATATATT